ATTCACGAACAGCTTGTAACACTCCAAAGAGAAAGGAAAACTTGAAATCGCATCATATGCATTATTATTTAATTGTATTGTACTTGCTATACTTCATACTTCAGTACAATAAAAGTACTAAAATTTGTTAGTCATTTTATAATAAATCTAAAAGCAAGATGTAAAAAAAAAGGCAACTGAGCTAATGAGTGATCCTCTGCTGCCATCTACTGGTTTTAATGGTAATTTCATTTTATTTTAATTTGAAAAGTCTTTGTTTTCCACCAGGTTTTTTGGCACATTTTCCATGTCATCATGAATGAAAAGTGAATCTTTAAAGTGAATTTTACTGCACAACTGTAGAGTAAAAAAAACAAACTGAAGGTTTTGAAATACTGTAAGTGTTTCACCCATGATGAGTTTGCATCCCTGAACTTTACATAGAGGCTGTGTCTCAAAACCTAGTGAGCTGCCTACCTAGGTGACAGCTGTAGGCATCATTAATGCATTCAAACTAGTGATGGGAGCATTCAAAACACTGCTTCATGAAGCTTCGAAACCTTGTGAATCATTCGTTTACAACAAGTGATCCAATCAAAAGTCCTTTGGTTTCAGTAAGCAAAGCTCTGTTATGTTGTAACTTGTTTAGAAGTTTCAGTGCTTTGCCACCAGCAATCTCTGGGGCTGATTTGTAGACATTTTAAATGACACATTTGTAAGTAAGACTAGTAGTTAGTCTCTTCCAGTATTTGGATTTACCGGTTTGAAGGCTTCTCAGTGTATGATGTTGTGTCTATTGCAGTGGATGATCAGATCTCTGTGAAGGTGGAGGCGTCCGGTTGGGCGTGGATGGTTTGTGGAGAACGGCTGATCATCTGGAAAGTGTCTCAGATGTCTGTGGCAAAGGTCAGAAAGAGACAATTACTGAGTGCTGAATTTGCTGCCAAGGCTGTACAAACGTTGTGCTCTTGCTGTCATTGCAGCTGTCGGTGTGTAAAGACCTCCAGCTGCCCTCCAGTGAGTTTGCATACAGCGCTGATCTCATCTCCATCACTTCCTCCAGGCCACTTGATTCTGCACCCATACCGGTGAGATCATCTCTGAACATTAACTCCACAAAAGATTTCATGATGCAAACATGATTGCAAATGTGTTTTTCACAGTCTGTCAGTGCATTGGCCGTGTCTCCAGACGGTTCGGCCCGGTTTTGGCCCAGTCTGGCTCATGACGGGACTTACACTGAGACATCTCTGGATCTCGCCGGACACGTGTGCAACTACGTCGCAGCTGTTAAGGTGCGCAGTCAGACTAAATGAGGAGTGCAGAAGCTTTTATTTCCATAACTCTTCTTCCATTAACTATTTTCTCTTGCTGTTTCAGGGCGGGAGTTTCATCGTGTCATCATACCGTGGGCACCTGCTCCGGCTCACTCCGGATTCCTCCGGTAAACTGCACCAGCGGCCCGTGCAGCAGGGTCAAGGGATGCTGTCTGGCATCGGACGCAGGGTTTCCAGTCTGTTCGGCATCCGCGGCCAACCGGCCGACCTCACGGTCAGCACTGTTTGTTCTTTAGAGGTGGAAGCAGATCATGTGTTCAAACAGTGACAGGATGTTTGGCTCCTCAGGTGTTCAGTGTGTTGTGGGTGAAGGAGACCGGCTGTCTGTACTCTCTCAGCTCGTGTGGCCTCAGTAAATGGGAGGTGGATGAGAACAGTGAGACGCAGGTGTTGAGCTGGAGCACCAATCAGATCATCACAGACAGCATCACTGACGCCATCTGGGTCAGTCACTTTTTTTTCTTTTTTTTTTTTTAAGCGTCTAGAATTATGTAGGAATGTGCTTTTCTGAACTTCATCTGATCTAGAAATTGAGGTCCTTGCATAGAACCAGAGCAGACTGCTTAAAGGGGTCAGATTCTTTCCACAAAAATATGAATGTATGTAATTTATTGCTGTGATCAAAGCTGTATTTTCAGCATCATTACTCCAGTCTTCTGTGTCACATGATGCTTCAGAAATCATTCTAATATGCTGATTTGCTGCTCAAGAAACATTTCTGATGCTTATCAGTGTTGAAAACAGTTGTGCTGCTTCATATTTTTGTGGATTCTTTGATGAATAGAAAGTTCAAGATAACAGCATTTATTTGAAATAGAAATCTTTTGTCATAGAAAACAGTTATTTGAAATTATAATATTTCACAATATTACTGTTTTTATTGAATAAATGCAGCCTTGTTAGGCAGAAGAGACTTTCAAAAACATTTAAAAGTATTAATTATTCCAAACGTTTGACTGGTAGTGTATAATATTAGTAAAGTTTTGTGCCAAATCAGTCTTTTTTTTTTCTTTAATGGCCATTTTCTACCTGTTTTCTGACTGTTAGAAATATTTTTGCCGCTGCACCCCAAATGCCACATTTGCTTGTGAAATAAGTAATACAGCTTGTGTATTTTTTAAAAGCTTTTATTAATTTATTTAGCGCTCAAAAGTTCAGTAAGATTTTAAATTTAATCTCTTCTCACCAAGGCTGCATTTATTTGATCATAAATACAGTAAAAACAATAACATTATGAAATATTTTTATAATTTAACATAACTGGTTTCTATTTCAATATATATTAAAATTTAATTTATTCCTGTGATCAAAGCTGAATTTTCAGCATCATTACTCCAGTCTTCAGTGTCACATGATCTTCAGAAATCATTCTAAAATGCTGATTTGCTGCACAAGAAACATTTCTGATTTTTATCAATGTTGAAAACAGTTGTGCTGCTTCATATTTTTGTGGA